TTATTATATATATATATATATATATATATAATCGAGATTCGAACCCGGAACCTCAAGCTTAGGAGCCTTGTGCTAACTCGTAAAGCCACAACGCACCCTCTTCTTTCAATTAACTTATAATTTAAAATTTAATTAAAAAACGCCTAGATATATCAAGTTATATTCTCCTTGATGTTTTCTTTCTTTCCAATATTGTTTTTGTCTCTTTTTTTTCTTGCAAGGAGATGATTAAGAGATTGATTAAGAAATTGTTTTGATGAGATGCTAAGTGTTAAACTAAGTAATAACAAGTATTAAATAACAAATTTGTGTTAAAGTAAACAAGAAATGAATGAAGAAAGGTAAATTAACAAAAATTATGAGAAAGCTGAATAAACAACTAACAATTTAAAAACATAGCTCATCCTCTATTGTGTATATATATGTGTGTGTGTGTGTGTGTGTGTATGTGTTTGCTTGTTCATGTATCTACTTTTACTTAAAGAAATAACATAAAAATAGGATTTACATATCTCTTAAAGGATTTACATATCCCTGCATACATAACAAAACGTAAAATATCAATCTTGAAGAAAATCATGATTCATAATAATTAAAACTTTAATAGCATCATATATCAATACATGTGTCAATAAGTATCTATTCAATAATATTGAAGTAAATATGAAGTATATATGAAGAAAATATATTCAAACTAATGGTCAAACAATCCACAGATATAAAACAGATATTTGTTTTCCATCGGTGAAAGCATAATAAAATGATAGTACGTGAAAGGAATTATGAATGCAATAAATAATAGCGATGTAAGTGCTGTTAAGTATACATCACATATCAATCTTCACAGACAAAGATTAATAAATACAGCAATTTTGTTTTTTTTTTTTCTGCAAATCTACTGTGATTTTATGCAAATTCTAAGTTGTGTAAAATTTAAAATCAAAGCTAGTCTATGTTTACCATTATCCAACAATTTTGATACTTGGCATCGCAACGTTATCACTATTTGATAACGACTTGAATCATCCTCGATCATCGATATATAATTGACTTTGTTTCTAACGAATAAATTTTCACACTCCTTTATTTCTTCCTTTTCGCAAAAAGTATACCTGCGTACGGATTTACCGCGAATTATGCACGGCTACATTTTCATTCAGACTTTATAAACTCTCGTACATCATACATGAAAACCGTCGGCGTGCAAAATCGCAAGATTCTCAATAATGTTACGCATAATACAGCGTGCAAAATTTTCCTCACCCTTCTCTATCCGCTTTGTCGCTATACATAATGCATGAGACTCTGCGAAGAGGTTAACGAAATCCCGTCCCGAAATTAACGAAGCGTGACTGCATCAGCGGTTAATAACAGAGAGCCCCCGTATTCCCTCGGGGCGTCTTTAAATGTCTTAACCATACCTTTATTACTATTACAATTATTTTAATCACGAGGCATACGAGACGAGATTTAATTCACTGGATGCAACAATCGTTACCGTACAAAAATCGGTTATCGTTGCCAACGAAGGTGGCGAAACATCTCGATTCTCTCCGTCAGTCAGAAAAGGTGCAAACGTGCGTAAATGCACGATTTCGCACGTTTGCACCTTCGAGTGTTCGAAGATCGAGAAATACACATTCAGCAAATTTTATGCCCATGTTAGGATATCATTCTCATTTGTAAGAATTACCTGCTCCGGCTCGGGCGCTTGTATCGGATCGACTCTGTCGATCTCGATCTTGTTCTCTTCCTTCCTGGAGGCACCTTGCGGCGGCACCCTCTGGATAACCGAGACCCTGGTAGGTGGCTCGACGCGGGGTGTCTTCGGCGGCGTCTGCGGCCTCGGCAACGCGATCTTCTCCGATTTGGACAGGAACTGTGGTGGATCGTCCGAGGCTATCGGCGGGCTGCTGTACTCCTTTCGCTCCGCCCGGGTGAGCACGTGACGTCTGCTGCCGTATGGTACGTCGCCGCCGAGGATGCTGGATATGAACCGTCTCGGTGGAGGGCTGGTAGCATTGCTCGCTAACTGCGGCGGCGATGGGGATGGTGCTGGACTGCTGCTGCGTAGGGATTCCGGGGTCGTCGCCCGGTCGTCATCGGTCTTGTCACGATCTATTGTGAAAGAAAAACGAATACTATTTTCCAATTTCAATAAGCGTCGCCCAAACGATCTATAGTTTCCTGAAATTCCTGGTTCCTGCCTCCAGAGAATCGCATTAAAAGAAGATTGTATATCTTTTTCTTATTCGAGAGTCGCACGTGTGAGAATGACTTTTCTCCGATTATTATTATTTGATTTGAGATAAATTCATCGAGGATTCAATTTTGTGATTTCTTTTTCATGAATAAAATTAAAATATTACGATAGTTGAGTATATTAATATACATATGATGTATTTGTGAACAAAAATTATTAATTATATTTAGATAAAAAGTTTTTGAAGTATTATCATATTTAAACGTTTCTCACGTATTCTCTAATAATTTTGTTGATCGAACAAAGTTATTTTCAAACCTAGTTAAATTTATTTATAAATTCTTTTAAAACTATTCTTTCCGTATAAATATAATTCATCATAAATCTTTAATACATCATAAGTATATTCTAGCAGAAAAACTAAAAATTTATTATTATTATTATTATTATTATTATCATTTGTTAATAAGTAATATCTCTACTTGTGTCATCTGTATTAGTATCTTTGGTCAGCATGAAATAAATTACATTTATCACAACGTAAATAAACAATTCTAAGGAAAACACCGCGGAGAAGTATCAGTAAAGCGGAATTTCTGGAGAAACGTGACTTTCTCACATTCAGTAACGTCGCGCGTCGTTGTAATTTGAACAATTCCTCCCGTTTTCAAGATTCGCGCGACATATCAAGGAAAACTCTTGCGAATTTACGACTCGCACGAAACGCGCAACGCAAGGTGACATAGGAATCGAACCTCGATACGTATGTCAGCCGAGCGAGGTCCGGCATACGTAATGCGCGGATGGGACGACGACGACGACGACGACAGTCATAACCGTCGGTTGGCCCGCTCTTCTCTCGGTGTCTGAATTTACGAGCAACCTTGAAGATTCGCAGGTACCGTATAGCGGCCGTTTCGCCGTACGTTCGTCCTTCGCGCGCGTACGTGATCTCCCGCTTTTCTCCTCGAGCGTTTCTTCTCAGAGTGCACCGGCGAGTAACTGTCTTTAATTAGCGTAGCAAGCGACAACGAATACCGGTCGTCTCTTCCCGCTTATATTCCCTTCGACGCGAACGAGGTATCGAGAAGTATCTTTCGATATCTTCAGCTGTCATATTAAAATTAAAGGCAAATGGCTTTATATCAACAACATCAATCTAATAAAAAATTATTGTAAAATCAAAATGAAAAAAATGCCATTACATTTATCGTCGATAGTACCTTAAATACCCTAAATCTACCGTTGCTTAAAAAAATAGCAATTTTTAGGAAATTATTTTTTTCTCCATTGCATTCTCAATTGCATGTGAGTGTTTTTATTACGATTCTAAAAGATGATCTATCTTTAAACGTGTACGGTCTCTCTCGTCTTTGACATCAAATGCTTTTCGACGGAGTACAAGGACTGTGTATGTCGTGTAATCATTATTGTTGAAGCGCCAACCAGGAAATTATCTGCGCGAGGACGTGGAGTTTTTACTGAGGTCATTGTGAAAAATATATTAGAAGAAAAGAATCTTCTCGCCTAGTCTTTAGAAGTACGTCTAATATATCTCCTCCCTGTTCGCTAAAAAATGTGTTCTACTGAATACTCTAACAAAGAACTACCAAAATCTTTATTCGCGATTAATATATCTTTTTATTAAAATTTAGTTTAGTACGTTTGTCCATTAAAAAAAAAAAAAAAAAACAAGACGTCTTGCTATCAAATATCAAGAAGTCTTGCTACCAAAATCGTCGAAAGGAAAAGTTGAAGGTGGAAATCAGGAAACTGAAACTAAGTAAACAAAGCGAAACGCTAGTTCAAAGCACCCCTTGGAAATTAATTTATCAGAAATGACCTGAGCGAAGGAATTTAAATCCCTGCGCCCACGGCAACCCCGGGGAGGATGATCTCCTTTGTCGATTCTCTCAAAAGATTCGTTCCTGAGCTCGAAATCAACCGCCGGCGATTCCGATCTCGAAATTACGAGTTAGACGAGGCGCCTAACGACATCTTTTGCGCAATCGCTTACGTCACGCCCTAGCCCCCGAAGTAACAGCATACACGAAGGTAACAGCTTCGGTGCCGCGGTGAGACATCAAAATGGCGGTTCCGTTCGTCGGAATAGTCTTCAGTGGAAAGAAGTGGCGTGCATGCGTGCGTGCGTGCGTGCGTGCGTGCGTGCGTGCGTGCGTGCGTGCGTGCGTGCGTGCGTGCGTGCGTGCGTGCGTGCGTGCGTGCGTGCGTGCG